ATGTGGTTAAAAACCTGGGAGGGCTGCGAAATACTGCCTATGGGGAACTAGAACAGATGTTAAGAGAGAGGGGGTAATGAAAGGGGGTGAGGGGCTGGGAAGGTGGCTCAGTGGTAGAGCGCTTGCCTTGCATGCATGAGGCCCTGGGTTCGATTCCTCAGCACCACATAAGCAAAAAGAAAAAAGCCGGACGTGGCGCTGTGGCTCAAGTGGTAAAGCACTAGCCTTGAGCTGAAGAGCTGAGGGACAGTGCCCAGGCCCAGAGTTCAGGCCCCATGACCGGACCCAAAAAAAATACAAATAAATAAAAAATAAAAGAAAGAAAGGGGGGAGAGAAAGAGAGAACTGACTCAGAAAAACAAAGAACTTTTTGGAGTAAAATCAAGACAGCAGATAAAGGTGCTAGCAGATAAATTTGAGGAAATCACCAAAAAATAATAATAGATGACAGATCTCACACACATACACACACACACACACACACACATACACACACACACAATCAAGTTGGAGAGTTGATTTAGGAAGTCTAACCTCCAAATGCTAGGAAGTACAGAAAGACAAAGGCAAGAAACCAGAAGAAAGAAAATTCTCAAAAACAATTCCTGGAGACTTTCCAGAAGTAAGTGTGTGTGTTTACAGATGGGTGGAGCCACTGTAACTCACACATTATGGACTGGGATGAAGCAGGAGGCTGGCTCAGTCACTGCACCAATGCAGCATGCAGGAAGGTCAGGGGTCTGAGGAACTCTGAGAGAGAACAGACCGCACTCAAAAGGTCAGACCTCCCAGATACAACAAAGAAACAAGAGCACCATGCAACAGGGATTTCAAAACACGGAAGGAAAGTTACTTTTAAAGTTCTACACTCAGCCAATTTTCCATTAAGTATGTGTAGGATACAGGCTAAAAGGCTTTAGCTACCATATACTTCTTCTCAGGACAGTATGAGAGGCAATATTCTATACAAGAGACTAAACCAAAGACAGAAAAATAAGAGAGTTGAGTGCAGGCAAGAGGTGTGGAGCCGCTTTGGGATGATTACAAAGGACAATGCCAAGTTGACCACAAGGCATCAGGTATCCAGTGTAGGTAACCTGACATTGCAGGGAGCCTGGAAGCCTCCAGAAGAGATTTCCTTGAGAAAATGGGGTAGACATGCCACCAGAAGCATCTGAATGTCTCACAAAGAGACTCAAGATAACCAGTGCAGAGTTCAGGTTCAATTATTTATAGGTTTTTTCTTAGTTCATTCACGTTGCTTTAAACAAAACATCACAGATGTGGGAGTGTATAACCACAGAAATGTACTGCCCACAGTTCTAGAGGCTTGAAGTTTAAGATTATGGAGCTGGGATATTCTGTGTCTAATGAGGGCCCTCTGTCTAGTTCATAGGTAGCCCTGCCTCTCTGTGTCATCTCAGGATAGAAGGGGCTAGCAAGTTCACTGGGGCTTCTAGATAAAGGCTCTAATCCAATTCTTGGGGGCTTCACTCTTAGGATCTTACCACCTCTCAAAGACCCTACCTCTTTATTTATTTATGTGGGGTTTTTTTGTCTCCAGATAGCTATACAAAAGGATTTCAATTTAACATGTCCAATTATGTGCATAATACATTTGGCTTTGTGTAATTCCTTCCATCATTTTCCCTGACTCGATCCCCTCCCCACCCAGCTCCTAACGTTTTCTAGACACATTGGAGATTCTTCTTTCTAGTCATCTGCCCTCTTCCCCTTAACCACCATTTTCCTCAGACATGATATTGTTAGACTGTTCATTGTCCAAATGGGTAACACAATGGAAATCCACCACTGCGCATACCATACTTTAATCACTTTGGTTGTGTATATCAGCATACGGCCCTGTATGTTTTCATATCTTTATATTTTAGGTAGGTCTAACCTCCATATGTTAAAGAAAACGTGCGCCTTTTTTTCTTTCTGAACCAGATTTACTTCACTCCCGTATTTTTCAGTTCCATTAATTTCCCTAAAAATGAGGTACTATTCTTCCTAATGGAAGAATAAACTTCCAGTATACATGCTTATATCTTCTTGATCCATGTCAGTTGTAGGACATCTGGGCTATTTCCTTGACTTGGCAATTGTGGATAGTGCCACAACAAACCTGAGTATGCAAGTGTCTACATTTGTATCCTGACTTGCAATCTTTTCAACAAATGCCTAAGAGTGGTATGACTGGATTATAGGGTAGTTCTATTTTTAGTTTTTTGAGGAGTCTCCATTTTGACTTCCATAGTGATTACACTAATTTATCATCCCCCTGAAAGTGTATTTGAGTGCCTTCTTCCTACAACCTTAACAACATTTATTGTTCATATTCTTGATGATGGCAATTCTGATGATTGAGATCTCATTATTGTTTTGATTTGCATTTCTTTTATGACTGGGGATTTTCAATATTTCTTAACATATTCATCAGCCATTTATGCTTCTTCTTCTGAGAAGTGTCTATTTAGCATCTTTACCCATACATTATTATTTCTTTGAGAGACTAAGTGGGTTTTTTTTACATTATAATGCTTTAATAGCATCATAATAACCTAGAGAGAAATAATGTATCTTGCTAATTAGATCCTTGTCAGATGTATAGCTGTATTTTTAGCTTAGTGACTATGACCTTCACTGTTTTTTAGCTTGATGTAAGCTCATTTGTCAGTTCTAATTGTTAAGCTCCTGGAATTCTACTCAGGAAATTCTTGCCTCTACAAATAAAGTCTAGTGTTTCCTTTACTCTTTCCTATAGTAGTTTCAAGGTTTCAGGTCTGACATTGAAGTCTTTGATCCACTTTGTTGAATTGATATTAGAGATAGGAATCTAGTTTCTGTCTTCTGCATCTAGATACCTAGTTTCCACATTACATTTGTTGAAGAGGTTTTTTTTTATTCCAACATATATTTTGGGTTCCTTTGTCAAAACTCAGAGGGCTGTAAGTGTGTGGATTCATTTTGGGCCTTACATTCTGTGCCACTCTGTCATCATCTTGGAGTTAGGATTCAAACCATAAACTCTAGGGGAACATAGACATAGAGATCATAGCAGGTCAAAAGAGAAAAGAAATAGAAACAAACAAATGAAACAATTTTTAACCAAAACAGGAGAGCAAACGCAATCTCAGTTTACATTTAGGCCAAAAATACTGAAAAGATTATGAAGGAGAGGTGACTAAATCATGAGAAAGTTTCCAAAAATTTTGCAAAATAAAGGTTAACACCTGTATGGTGTGTCTCCTGTGTCTGTGAAGTCAACTTAAGTCACTCTGGCCAACAACTTCCATTCACCTAATTGTGTCTTAATCTCCTCTCTTCCTCTGGAGATGTGTCTGTGTGTGTATGTGTGTGTGTGTGTGTGTGCGTGTGTACGTGTGTGCTGTTATACGTGTGCATTACATGGCATGTGTGGAAAATGACCATTTTGTATTGTGTGGTAAGGTGTGTAGTGTTGAATACAGGTGATATGTGTAGATTGTGTGTTATGAATGTTGGGGGTTTTGTGGTATGGGGGGTGTGCTATGTGGTGTGATGGTTGTGTGGGGGCGGAGAATGTGTGGTGTGGGATTATAGGGCATGGGCTTGTGTGCATGGAAATGTTGAGATTTATCTCGAAGATGTACATATACTCCTACATTGTGTAGTGACAGACACAGACTGAGTATGGGCAGGGTACTGGGTAAACATGGTAATTGTCAGTAGCTGATAAAAATTTCTTGGCATCATTTATATCTTCTGGGACCACCAATGGATATGCTGAGCAAAATGCCATTAAGTGCATGACAGTACATAGCCTTGAAACTTTTATTTCTCTCTAGGTTATTAAAATGCTATTGAAGCATTATAATGTAACAATGAAAGCTCTCCTCTGTAAAACTAATGTAAGTTAATTAAAATTCTTAAAATATTAAGAATAAAAATAAAAAGTAAGAAGCGAGGATGAAGTTTGGTGTTAAGAGTGCTTGCTTAGCTGAGAAGGTGGTAGAGTGCTTGCCTTGCATGCCTGAGGCCCTGGGTTCGATTCCTCAGCACCACATAAACAAAAAGAAAAAAAAATGATTTCAAAGGATACTTATAGCCGGGCGCTGGTGGCTCACGCCTGTAATCCTAGCTACTCAGGAGGCTGAGATCTGAGGATCGCGGTTCAAAGCCAGCCTGGGCAGGAGAGACCGTGAGACTCCTATCTCCAATAAACCACCAGAAAACCGGAAGTGGCGCTGTAGCTCAAGTGGTAGAGCGCTCGCCTTGAGCTGAAGAGCTGAGGGACAGCGCCCAGGCCCAGAGTTCAAGCCCCACGACCGACAAAAAAAAAAAAAAGAGTGCTTGCTTAACAATGAAAAGAGGAAAACGAAAAGGAGGAGGAATGGGAGGAAGAAAGAATTATAAAGGGAAGAAGGAGGGATGGAAGGAGGAAAGGAGAGAGGGAGTGAGGGAAGAAAAGAAGGGAAAGAAGAGATGGAGGAAAAGAAGGGAATGGAGAAAGGAAGGGAAGAAGGGAAAGAGAGGGAGGCAAAGGAAGTCTACTTCAACAAAAATATTTAGCACTACAAAAGTAGTATTAGGTATTTAAAAAAAACAAAGACAAATTAGAGAAAAATTTCAAGAAGCTACATAATTTAAAACTCTCACTGTGAAAAAGAAATACTTGGGCTGGGAAGGTGGCTCAGTGGTAGAGCGCTTGCCTAGCATGCATGAAGCCCTGGGTTCGATTCCTCAGCACCACATAAACAGAAAAGGCTGTAAGTGGTGCTGTGGCTCAAATAGTAGAGTGCTAACCTTGAACCCAGAGAAGCTCAGGAACAGTGCCAGGCCCTGAGTTCAAGGCCTCAGATGGGTGAGGAGGAAGGGGGAGAAATAAATAGTTGAAGCATGGGATGTACTGAGTGACTCATTTTTCTCCTAATGGCACTTGGTTAAGTATCAGAAAGAAAAACAACAGAACCACTCAAAGTATAAATATTTATTTATTAAAGTATACAGTCTACAAATCTGATTAATGAATATAGTTATAGAAGAATATTATTAAAATGAGATTGACCAAAATTTTTTATCAATAAGTAGATCATTTTTCCTGAAGGGGTTTGTACACATAAACATTTGCATAGATTTCTGAGAGCTTAGTGGAGACACACGAGCATCCCTGCTAGGCACAGGATGAGAAGGATATTTTTTTTCCCCTTAGCAAAATTTATTTTGTCATGGTTTACACTTCTGTTTTGAAAGAAAATGAAAATTTGCCCAGGAAGGGGAAACAAAGGAGTTCATCTTTCTTCAGTGTTCACACTACCAGGAGCTGCACCTGTCCAGCCCTCCAGGGCCCTTCTGTTCAACCTGAGAAATTCTGGAAGACGTCGGCCACCTCCACCCAGTCCTGGAAGCAGGCCAGCCCTCGCTCCCGGATCTGCTTCCGCCCTTTGTTGGTGATGACCTCCCCATTTTGTTTCACGATCACAAGCTTGGGGATGGCAGTGATGTTGTATAGCTTCTTCAGTTCACTGTGGGAGAGCAGAGAGCGGACCAGAGGGTTAGCACTTCTTCACATGCACGAGGGAAGAGCACACAGTTCTGGCCTTGGTGTGGCACAAGTACAGACAGGCTACCTGCTGAGGTGATAGGTTCCTGTTCTGACCACAGAACCATCTGCAGTGATGTATTGGTTGTCCATTTACACTACCCAACACTGTGGCCAGCAGCCATGTAAGGAGGTGGTACCTTCAACAGGTGACAAGCCTGCCTGAGAAACTGAATTTCTCACCTCAATTAACTGCTATTTTTAAGCGCTTTTTTTTTTTAAGTCCTGAGGATCAAAATCAGTGTATTTTATTTATTTATTTAGGTCAGTCATGGGGCTTGAATTCTGCACCTGGGCACTGTCCCTCAGCTCTTCAGCTCAAGGCAAGAGCTCTACCACTTGAGCCACAGTGCCATTCCGGCTTTTTCTGCTTAAGTGGTGCTGAGGAATTGAACCCAGGCCCTTATGTATGCAAGGCAAGCGCTCTACCACTGAGCCACCTTCCCAGCCCCAAAAACCAGTGTCTTAAACATGCTAAGCAGTTACCACTGAACTCTGACTCCTAGTCCTACCATTTTAAAACTTACAGTGTAGCTCTAAACATACAAATAAATACATAAATAAACACTCAAACATAAAAGAGAAGAAAACTCTGGTGTACATATACTGGTGAACTTTAAACTTCTAAATACATCTAAAACCAGATGAGACTCCCTCTCTCCCTAACAAATTCAGTGATGTGTGGCAGATGTGATTGGCTCTTTCGCATTCTAAGCTGAACCCCTAAGTGGTCTTTGTAACAGTTCCTTGGATTCTTTGAGGGACAGGAGCAACTGCCCGTGCAGTTCTTCAGATCTCCTAGTAATCTTCTGGAGATTACCTCCCTCAGACAGTGCAGTGGAGCAAATCCCTTTCTTGTTTACTGAGTGGGTCACAAGGGCCTCAAGGTGACTGTAATCTGATTTCCTCTCTGTAGAGCCTGAGGCTTTCCCTGAGAAGAAGAAAATACCACAAGGAGCCTTTCCTGTTAGCACACCGTCTCCCTGACATCCCCATCAAGACCTTCTACTGCTTCCAGTGCCCAAGTCAAATACAAACTCACTCAAGCAGGGGAAAGTTCATAATTTTCTACGTGAGACTATACCTTGTTTCAAAGACATGGGAAACTATGGCCAAACTAATCATAGTCTCATTAATAAATCTCAAGTGACCAATAATACACAAGACTGTTTTCATCCAACCATATCATGGAATTAGAAACCAGTAGAAAATGATTATTGAGAATGAGATTAGAAATCAAGTAACTGGGCTGGTAAGGCGGCTCCGTGGTAGAGTGCTTGCCTTGCACGTATGAGGACCTGAGTTAGATTCCTCAGCACCACATAAACAGAAAAAGCGGAAGTGGCGCTGTGGCTCAAGTGGTAGAGCGCTAGCCTTGAGCTGAAGAGCTGAGGGACAGCGCCCAGGCCCAGAGTTCAGGCCCCACGACCGGAACCAAAAAAAAAAAAAAGATATTTAAAACCAAATATGAGCATGCAGTCAGCTTTCCATATCCAAGTGTAACATATCCATAGATTCAACCTCAAGTTGAAAATATTCTGAAAAAAAAATTGCACCTGTATTTACATAGAACTTTTTCTTAACAAAAAAATAGTATTTTTAAAGAAATGATAAAACAATGAAAAAATAATAAACCAACCTCCCCCCCCCAAAAAAGTAGGAAAATTTAACCAGGCATTGGTGGCTTATACCTGCTAGTATAGCTACTCGGGAGGCTGAGGTTTTATGAACATGATTCAGAGAAAGCCCAGGCAGGAAAATCTGTGACTCTAATCTCCAATTAACCACAAAAAGGCATAGCTCAAGTGGTGGAGCTCCAATATTGAGTGAAAAAAACAAGTGAGAGTGCAAGACCCTGAGTTCAAGTCCTAGTACCAGCGCACGCACGTGCGACGCGCATGCACACGCACACACGCGCGCGCACACACACACATTGAAACAGAATTTTCAACAAGTACAGGGCAGGTGCCTCACACCTGTAATCTGAGCTACTAAAATTGCTGAGATCTTGGTCGGGCACTGGTGGCTCACACCTGTAATCCTAGCTACTCAGGAGGCTGAGATCTGAGGACCACAGTTCAAAGCCAGCCCAGGGATGGAACATCTATGAGACTCATCTCCAATTAACCACCAGAAAATCAGAAGTGGCACTGTGGCTCAAGTGGCAGAGCGCTAGCCTTGAGCTGAAGAGCTGAGGGACAGTGCCCAGGCCCAGAGTTCAAACGCCATGATGGACACACACACACACACAGGAAAAACAAAAAAGCTGAGATCTGAGGTAAGACGCCAGCTCAGGCAGGAAATTCCGTGAGACTCTTAAGTGGAGCTGTGGCTTAAGGAGTAGAGTGCTGGCCTTGAGCAAAAAAGCACTCAGAGACAGCACCCAGGCCCTGAGTTCAAGTCCCAGGACTAGCAGGTGCAGGCACACAGGCAGGCACAAACACACGCACCCCAGAATTTTTAAGTTGGATAGAAAATCTGGATGAGTCAACAAATCGGTGAACAATAAAACACAAATTGGCTCTCTGGAAATTCTAAAAAGTACAAGAAATCTGCAAGATTGAGGAAGAGAAAAAGAAGATGATCCATAAGTATCCGGAATCGGGCAGGCAGGTCTTGCCAGCACAGAGGCCCAGTGTAGATTTGGCCCTCCTCATAGAAATACTAGCAACAGCCAGGCTCCGGTAACTCACATCTGTGATCCTAATTCCTCAGGAGGCTAAGATCTGAGGATCACAGTTCAAAGCCAGTCTAGGCAGGAAAGTCCCTGTGAGACTTACCTCCAATTAACCACTCTAAAACTGGAAGTGGCAGGCTGGAAAGGTGGCTAAATAGTAGAGTGCTTGCCTTGCATGCATGAGACCCTGAGTTCGATTCCTCAGTACCACATAAACAGAAAAAGCCACAAGTGGCACTGTGGCTCGAGCTGAAGAGCTGAGAGACAGCACCCAGGCCCAGAGTTCAAGCTCCGTGATGGACAAAAGAAAAACCTGGAAGTGGCACTGTGGTTCAAAGTGGTAGAGTGCTAGACTTGAGCAAAAAGAGCTCAAGGACAGTGCCCTGAGCCCTACAATGGACAAAAAAAAAAAGAAAATATTAGGCAAGTGGTCCTTGGCTTTTCCTCTCAATTGACCATGGGGTCCAGCCACTTGCACATGGAGAAAAAAAACTGCAAGTTTCAAAGGCACTGGACCTTCACAAATATAAGCAAGCCCAAGTCTGAAAAGAATCCAGCAGGACCTGCACAGGTCTGAAACCACACAGGAGTCGTGAAAGGTGTGGCAAAGATGTCTCTCCACAGGGATTTAAGTACCCTGTGCCACAGCTGAAATTTGAAACTGACATTTCTCAAGGGTATAAAAGCATAAAATGAAAAGGCAAAAACCCTAAAAGTGCTTGCCATAAAACTGAGGCTAAATGACAGCGGCCTAATGGTAATTTTGACAAATCAGTTATTCAGTGTCTGAGCTCTGAGGAAGGGGTGGGACAGGATGAGACTGCTTGCTGGCCAGGTTTTGGGAAAGTCTGGCTATGGCCAGTCCTGGCAGGACTGTCATCTCAGAGACTCAGCAACCCCCACCCCCTCAAACTAGGACTCATCCCAGGCACATTTGAGGGGCAGCAAGAGAATTGGGATGCCAGCAGCAGCAGAACCTCCCATAGAAATCTCTGGGAGAACCTGAGTCCAACTCAGCATCTACATTCCTGATAGGTTCCCTGGTGACTGGTACTACACCGGCATTTCTTTTCTTTTTCTTCTTCTTCTTCCTCCTCCTCCTCTTTTTCTTTGGAATGGGTCCTGGGGCTTGAACTTAGGGTTTAGGTTCTCTCCCTTAGCTTTTTGTTTTGTTTTGATCAACGCTAGCACTCTACCACTTGAACCACAGCTCCACTTCTGGCTTTTTGGTGGTTAATTGGACATAAGAGTCTCACAGACTTTCCTACCTGGGCTGGCTTTGAACCTCCATCCTTGGATCTCAGCCTCCTGAGCTGTGAGCCACCAGCACCTGGCACACCCATTGTATTTGCTATGTGATTATCTCTCCCCACCCCCCTCTTTTTTTGCCAAATTGCTCATGAATCAATCATTTAATTCTCACAGCCACCCTGGGACGTGGGCTCAGTTATTCCTTCAGTAGAGACAAAGAATCTGGAGTATAAGGGGACTAAGCACCGTGTCCAAATCACATAGCTAATTCATACCAGAGAAGGCAGGGTGCTTGGCTTCCCAAGGAAGGCCTCAGATGCTGACCCCAAACCCACACTTCTCTACCTATGCTCTGACCCACTCTGTCCTCAGACATCCTCTATCTTCCTCGGCACCTGCTGCTCTTCCCTCCTCTAGGGCAGAAAGCCCTGGAGACCCCAGCAGCGCAGGCTTTTAAAGTGGTGAATCTACTACACATGCATGCATGAAAATAGAACAATAAAACCAGCTGAACTATTTTTTAAGGGTGGGGTGATAGGAAGTGAGGTTGATGGGGTACATCATACGTATGTATGGCAACGTCACATACAGCTAACCTATGCCAAAACAAAACAATCTCTGCTTTATCCCCAGGTCAGGGACTACGGTTCTGATGGCTGATGGGTCCTGCTGCTGTTAGTGTCTGGAAATACATGAACCACAGCTCCAGTGATATAGTGCCAGCTTGAGCGAAAAAGCTAAAGGCCTCGAGTTCACATCCCAGTCCTAGCAGAAAAATATGAAAACTAAAATTCAAAAACACTGGGTCAGAGGGACAGTGAGTACTCAATCAACATTCCTCCTGGCCCCCCTAATTCACATAGAAACTACTAACCAGCAAGCTCAGAACCAGAATACAGAACATCTGCTGTGTGCCGAAAAGGCATCATGTATGAAGATGGTACCACTGCAGCCATTCTACCACCCTGAGGAGAGACTAGACTGACTCACCAGGCAAATTTTCCTGTACCCTAGCATCAAGCAGAAACTCCATCCTCAGTGGCCTCTGGCGTCTGAGAAGCTCCTGGCTGCTTGAAGTTTCCGTTAAGCCAGCCCAGACCATCTATTGTTTAAGCTCTTTAAGTTATTAACACTTTGTTGATTTTATTTTTTGCCAGTCCTGGGGCTTGAACTCTGGGCCCGGGCACTACCTCTGAGCCACTCTGTGCTCTAGGCTAGCATTCCACCCACTTGAGCCACAGCACCACTTCCAGCTTTTTCTGTTTATGTGGTACTGAGGAATCGAACCCAGGACTTCATGCATGCAAGGCAAGCACTCTACCACTAAGCCACATTCCTAGCCCAACACTTTGTTTATTTTCTCTTATTTTAGTTTTTGTTTTATCTTATCATGTTACTTTATTTTATTACTTTATTTCTGCTGGTACTGGGGCTTGAACTCAGGTTCTCACTCTCTTGGTTGGCTTTTTCCCTCAAAGGTGGTGCTTTACCCCTTGAGCCCCACCTCCACTTCTGACTATTTTTGCTGATCAACTGGAGAAAAGATTCAGATGGGTTTTTCTGTGCTGGCTTCAAACCTCAAACCTCAGATCTCATTCCCTGAGTAGCTAGGATCATAGGCCTGAGACACTAGCACTCAGCTACATCACTGTTCTTTAAATCACTTGTAACACTAAATTGAATTCTGACTCAGGAAGTGAGGCAAGCTGGGCTGAGAGGAACCTAAGAGGATGGGGTTGTCCATTATTGTCTCCCCCTTAACTTTAGAAACGTCCAGTGCTAGCCCTCAAGTTCTCAAAATGACAGCCTCTGATCTAGGGACAAACAGAACCTTGCAACTGAAAGGCAGAAGCCCACAGAGGCCCACAGAGGCCCACAGCCACCTTTCCCTGGAGTCCTCTCCACCCCTGTGGTGATGTCCACAGAAAATAGAAATGCTTTGGAGGAGGAAGTCATCATCATCTAACCAGTGTTGGAAAATCCCAGAGCCCAGTTCATCCTTGTCCTGAGTGCTGTTGAAATGTCTGTCTCTCCATCACCTAACCGGGTCATAACCTTGTCTTTCACTTAAGGGTGTTCCCTTTCCTAAGAAGTTGCCATAGCAACTACTAACTCCAGGTTATTCCCAGTGGGCTGTAGACTGTTAACAAGCAAATCTCTCTAAAGCATTTTTGTTCATTTGCTCCAGCCACCCATCAAACACACACACACACACACACACCATGGATACCAAATATTATGTCTGCCTTGGTCCCTTGAGCAACAGGAATCAGGGAACCCCTGGAGAATTAGAGCAAGGCAGTTTGAGACCAGAATTGCCTTGTTTTTGTTTTTTTGGTGCCGGTCCTGGGACTTGAACTCAGGGCCTAAGCTTCTTCAAGGCTATTACTCTACCACTTGAGCCACAGCTCCACTTCTGGCTTTTTTGGTGTTTAATTGGAGATAACAGTCTCACAAACTTTCCTGCCCAGCCTGGCTTCAAACTGTGATTCTCAGATCTCAGCCTCCTGAGTAGCTAGGATTACAGGCGTGAGCCACCAGCACCTATCAGAAGTGCTCTTGAATGGAGAGCCAGTTCAATGGGGGCACACCAACCTGGGAGCTGAGTTACAGGAACACTCTAACACTCTAAGCTTACACTTCTTCCTGGATAAAGGGGGTCACCAATGAGTATCTTCCTCACCTGCCGCCAGCCAGTTTGGAGGAGGAGAGAGGGCAAACAAGACTTTGTATGTGTGTGTGTGTGTGTGTGTGTGTGTGTGTACATGCGTGCGTACATGCATCCCTTGCATGTGCACAAGCCAGTGCTACAACTTAAACTCATGGCCTGGGCACTATCTCTTAGCTTTTTCACTCAAAGGGATGGCACTCTACCACTGCTCTGCTTTGGGGTGTTTAATTGGAGATAATAATCTTGTGAACTTTTCTGCTCTTGGCTGGCTTTAAACCACAATCCTCCAATCTCAACCTCCTAAGTAGCTAGGATTATAGACATGAGCTACCAACACCCAGCTATTTATGAACTGTTCTTGGTAGTGGCTCCTGGTGTGATTCTATAAACCTGGGCTGTGATAAGCAGAATTTAGGGTATACCACACACAATACCTACAACCTAGTTTACATATGGCAATGTCAGGGCTCACCACATTCTGCCCAGAAAGGACTAGAGGCAAAGAGCTAAGTTCACAAAAGAAAAATTCATCTGAAGATGAAGACCAGATGACCAGACAGACCAAAAGCATACAGGGCAGACCCAAACACAAGGCCCCAGGTTCAGCAGGGCTCATCTGCCTCCAGCCAGAGGGTGCACAGGCTCTAACCAGACCACTAGGGGACACAGTGAAAAGTGATATCCTTCTCAATCAAGTCCACACTGCCCCCAGGGGCTAAGGCTAATTGCCATGCCCTGGAGACAGCACAAGGGCCAGGGCAGAAAAACGGACCCGGACAGGAGAACTGGAATCTGTATCTCACCGGTACTCCTGTATAATGGAACAATAGCCCAAAGTGCTGCACATTGCTAGGAGCCCTTTCCTGGATCGAATCAACCCCTAACCACTGCATGTGTAGTCTATGCTCAGGAATAAAACAACTTGCATACCATCCCAGTGGGCATTCCTAGAGCTGGGCTCACCCAGAGTCTGAGTTCTTTGCCTAATTAACCACACTATCCCCCTCACTTTCAAGTGTGTCCTTTCAAAAAGCTGCATACAGCCGGGCACCAGTGGCTCACACCTGTCATCCTAGCTACTCAGGAGGGAAAGTCCATGAGACTCTTATGTCCAATTAACGACCAAAAAGCCAGAAGTGGACCTGAGGTTCAAATGGTAGAGTGCTAGCCATGAGGAAGAAAGTTCAGGGACAGTGCCCAGGCCCTGAGTCCAAGAAGTAGGACAGGCACACACACAGACACACACACGAGTGTCATATGAACCTGAGTGTCATGCAAATCATATGATTCTCTCACGGATCCTTAGCAAAGTTAATTGGCTGTCATTCACACCTAGGCTTTTTTTTTTGTCATTGGTCATAGGGCTTGAACTCTAGGCCTGGGTGCTGTCCCTCAGCTCTTCAGATCAGAGCTAGTGCTCTACCACTTGAGCCACAGCACCACTTTCGGTTTTCTGGTGGTTAATTGGAGATTAAAGTCTCACAGGTATTCCTTTCCTGGGCTGGCTTTGAACTGCGATCCTCAGATCTCAACCTCCCGAGTAACTAAGATTACAAGCATGAGCCACCAGCGCCCAGCTAGTGTGTAAGAGAACAATGTGATTCCTTCCAGTCAATTATGTGTCTATGAAACATCCGAAAGTTAGCTTCCTTTCCTAAACCCCGAAATGAATACACTCAAGAGACCAGCCTCAAGCAACACCTAGAAATTCACATCTGCATGAAGAGGGAGGAGGAGAGGAAAAGCAAGGGCAATGTACTTTATGACGTGATTTTAGCCTCACCCGGGGCTCTTACATCGCAGGACCCCATTGTCACCACCATACACCAAGGCCAGCCAGACTCCTCCTATTCCTCCCACCCCCCCCCCACACCACCTTGCTCTCAAAGGCACTAAATCCAAGTGCGCTCTCAAATCCAGACACCCAGAACAGAGAGCTGAGGGTCTAAAACAACAGCAGGACCAGGATCCTAACATTTGCCTCCACCTGAGATCCTCCTACATTTACAAAAACCAGACTTAACATCGCCTAACTCCACGGGCTATATAGCATTGCAATGCATTCCCGCACCCCCAGCACGGCCTGGCAGGTTCGGCTCACAGTTCGGATCCAGCCGACCTCGGGCGGGGATCTCCCCGCGCTCACCACGCGCAGGAGGGCGCGGTGATCAAGACGCCCTCCAGCCCAGGGCTCCGGAGAAACGCAGATCCCAGGACCCCCACACCCTGCGGGGTTCAGAGACAAGTTTTGACTGTGCGTGGCTTTGCGAATCCGGGGAGTTTGAAACCGATGGTACAGAATTTGCCTGAACCAGGACGGGCACCGCAGGGCGGGAGGAAGTTCAGAGATGGAGATCTGCACCGGGATGCAGGAGAGGAGGCCTGGGGGTGGGGGGTGGGGGGCAGGGAGGGGAACCCCCGGCCCGCGCCCCTCCCAGGTCCCCCCCCCCGCACGCACGCACGCACTCACTGCCGGTAGGGGTCGTGGAAGGGCAGCGCCAGCCAGTCTCCGTGCAGCTCGCGCATGAACTCCAGCATCTCCTGCGCGCTGCCGTCCGCCGACACGAAGACCACCTCGAAGGGCGCGGGCCGCCGCGCCTCGCCCACCAGCGCCGCGTAGAACTCGCCGAGCAGCGGCGTGAAGTCGCGGCTGGGCGCGCAGCGGCGCGCCGCGAAGTACAGGGCCACCACCTTGTTCTGCAGCGCCGCCTCCGCCTCCACCGCCTTGCCCTCGCGGGTCACCAGGTGCCGCCCGCCCAGCAGGTCCACCATGGCGCGCGCGGGCACCGGCTGGAGCAGGAGCTCGGCAGGGACCGGCCACCAGCCGGCAGATGTCCCCCAGGCGCTCACTCCCCAGGCGGACGGCCACCTGCCCGCGGACGCAGCGAGCCGGTCTGGGCGCCCC